TATCATTGATCCTATGCGTTTTTCCAATTTTTTTCTATCGAGGAATGAGCAAGTCTGCCTAGTGCACAAATGAAAGATCATTTTCATCTGGAAAATTCTGAAATCTCCCAAAACTTATAAAATAAAACTTTTATTAAAGGTCTGAAATGTTTTTAAGACTGATTCTCGAAACAACAATGAAATTATAGGAATATTCAGATATGATTCATAATTTCCTTTCATGGGTGGAAGTTAATGAAATTTGTTACGGGAAAATTCCATACCCAAATTATGATGGCATTCAGCTGGTCTAAGCAGTTTTATCAGGCCTTCGAGTTTCTTGTCAATAACACTCAACAACACATGTTTGTTTTTCATATTTGGTTCTTGAATATCCAAGGTCAGAATTTGAGAACTGAATGACAGTTATTAATCATTTAAAATGTTGCAGCTGAACTTTTTGTTTATGGTTGTTGAATCAGCAATAAATAGAAATAGGTTCTCGAGTTTCTTGTAGAGGCTTACTATATTAATTCATTGCTTATACATGATTCATCTCTATTGACCAGAATTCATTGGAAACTACTAAAAAAGTAAATTATCAACTTTTGACAGGAGATCTAGTTGTGGACTATTTCTCACTGACAAGTGCGTCCTTCAATTTGTTAAAGGGTGTGCCCATAGATTATTTTTAGAAACTTTGGGTTTAAAAACTAAAAAACTGCCCGCATTTTGATCGACTGAGCTTGATTTATAAGAAATATAGCTTGAAATTATTTACATTAAAGGAAAAGATTGAGGTGAAATTATTCAGCTGTGAAAATCATAATTACAAGTCAAAAATATTTATGTTCTCAGCAGTTGTTATGAGAATTCTGGAAAAGTTGACTAGCTTTCAACTTTTTCGTAAGTTTGAAGGAAATCGTTTCCCTGAGACTCCTTGGCTTGATATATTGTATTTTCATAAGGTTCATAATTAGATTAATTTTACGCAAGAGGTTTCAATTCTACCAATCACAAAAGTAGTTGTATCTCAAAAATGTTTCCTTACAGCATGTTTTCAAAATGAACTCTGCATATTTTTATTGATATCCTTAAATTTTCTTTCTTTCTCCAAAAGTCCTTCATTCTTAATATGTTAATTCTAGATTAGGATTCCAAAAAAGTTTTTTTGCCATAAAATTTGGGTTGTTTCCTCAATCATACTGAGTAGTTTGAATTTCTTATAAGGATCAATCGATACAGATACTTATTTATAACCATGATTTGATGTTTCTCATTATTTTCCAGGATTTCAACAGTTCAGTGGAACAACTGCCATTACTTTTTATGCTCAACCAATATTTAAAGAAGCCGGTGACGATATTTCCCCTCATCACGCATCAATGATCTACTTCTCGGTTCAACTTCTTGTTACAATAGTGTCCTCCAGTATCGTAGACAAAGCTGGGAGAAAGCCTCTACTCCTCATATCGATGGCCGGGTCCGCTCTAGCTCTGTTTCTAGAAGGAGTGTACTTTTTCATGAAGAACCAAACAGACATTGACATCTCTTCCTTTTCTTGGGTTCCAGTTGCTGTTCTCATCGCCTTCGTTATCATCTTCAGCTTGGGCATGCAGAGCATTCCTATCCTCATGCTAGGGGAACTGTTCCCGACCACTGTTAAAGCGTACGCGTTGTGTTTGGCCGATGTCTACTACAGCATAGTAGCAACCATCGCCTCGAAGTTTCTACAAGTGATGAAGGACACCTACGGAATGCATGTTGCCTTTTTTGGATTCTCTATTTTTTCTGTCCTTGGACTGGTTTTTATCGCGTTTTGCGTTCCTGAGACAAAGGGAAAAAATTTAGAGGAAATTCAAGAGTTTCTCAAGGGACGCAGCACACATGATCACAGCAAATGCGATAAGGAAGAGTGTGTCAAAGTTTAATGTGATATTTTTAGAGAAAATTATTATATGGTGAATGTTCGCAGATGTTTGAATCAGTTANATACTGGATATTCACTGATTAATCACCAGCAAACTGTAGTAGTATGAAACTAATGTTATCAAAACTGCGTGATATATTTGAGGTTTAGGCCCCCAGGTTTATTCCATTGGTGGTGGGGTTGGCTTTATTCCTATTTGTTACATTCAATGAACATGTGCAATTTAGTTCAGGTAGTCAGACCTCATTTATGTTAATTCCTTCTTTCTTTTAGTTAAAACTGTTTGTGTTTCTGTGTCCGGCCCTCTCAAGTAAATATTTGATAACCTACGCACCTAGACAGGTATCAAAATAAAAAATTCAGACACGACAATAGAGGAGGACTCGACGCAACTATGAACTTAACTGTCTGCCAGAGGAACTTTTTTCCCTAAAAAATGCCTCAAACAAAATTGGTATAGCACAGTCAAATTCGAGCTGGTAATATGACATAGAAAAAGAGAATGTCAAAGTTACTAGAAATAAGTCTGTCAATGAAAAAGGTTTCCCGTCCTATGTAATGAATGTTATGTACCGGATTGGAACAGTTCTGGAGAAACACAGAATGATGTCGATTTTCATGCCAACAAAAACAACGGGTGTTTACCGAATCCTTTATAGCTGTGGATCAGTTTACATTGAACCCAGGACGTGGGTTCAATGTAAAGGTTAAAAATAAACTTTTTCATAAAAATTACTAAGAAATTCTATTTTAACTATTTTGAATTAATGTCCCTGATATTTTTTACTTACAATTCAATTTTCAGGTGTTTTATTGAGCTTGCTATAAGAAAGTAGTTAAACAGTTTGAGAATTTATGTAATGCCATCATACAAAATTAATATATGTTGATAACGAATGTAAATGATGATACAAAAACATGAGGCAATATCATTTTAGTAGGTGGAAACATTTTGTCACAAACTCCACATCACGTGGGTTTTCCAGAACCTCACAATTAGGCAATTGCTCCAGCACTAATTTTGCTGAAAAAGTAAATTCATTTTTCCGGATTCATTCCATTTGACATCTAATTGTGCTCACTTTCTAGTCTCCTTGAAAGCCCATTCAATTAGCTTTCTGTGCCTTCACTTTAGGAGGCGGATGATCAGTCAATATATTCACGACCCCCTCGCAACCATCGTACATTGTATAACATATGTCTAGAACATTCCTTGTCGTCAAAGTATTCTGTACTTCTTTCTGGCCCAGCGCAATTCTGATGGCTTCATCTTTAGACAACTTGTCCAAGTCTCTTCTTGGTATTTTAACAACGGAATTCTCAAAGCCGTTTACCTTGAAAAATAAAGTGATATTAGACAATTGTGTTTTGACCCCTTAATAAAAAATTGTTTTTTTTTCCCTAAAAATTGTACATTAATCGGAATTAAAGTTTTGAGTTTTCATAACTATGGTTATCATGGCAAAATAGCCATTTACAATGTAAATTTATTGCAATTCATGCACTGTAACACATTTAAACACTCAGAATATGACATAAAAATGTTTTCGGGTTTATTGGCCGTGGTCTGCAGGTTTTTATACCTGACGTTTCATCTGTTACTGCGGCAGACATTATCAAAAGCGATGCGGCAATGGTCAAAGGAATCTAACTTGCATTACTGCGATGCGAAAACTTTTATGTCAATATTGATTAAAAAAAAATTGACTCCTGTTTTTTTGTAACGATTACACTAATTAAACCTTAGAAATTATTTCATTTGTATACCACAGTATCACCTCTAAATTTGAAAGTTGTTTTTTATTTTTACCTCAGATTATTTCATAAGCAAATTTCATTTTATGTAACTAATGATAATTTGCTTTTGTTGAAAAAAATTTAAAAAGAATTGAGACGTTTCTTAGTAAAAATTTGGAACTTGTGATGCACTGTTTGGAACCTTTGGTGTAGTAATAAATATAACTGGAGTTTTTTCCCAACACCAATCCGTTATTTTCAACACCTCGACACGTGTTTCGATCACCAAGTGATCATCTTCAAGAGGAAGATCTTTCTCTTGAAAATGATCACTTGCTGATCGAAACACGTATCGAGGTGTTAAATTAACGATTTTGGATTTGGACAAGTTAGCTGTGGCAGAACACGCACTGAGTGAAGGAGACCACAGAATCTTGTTTGAAAATACAGAACCAATTACCCCCCAACCAGGGATACCATAGCTGACTGGTACGGGAGGCAATAGAGATCCACAAACACACGGATAATTTTAACAGAAAAGAAGAAGCGGTGTACCTCAATCAAATATGGAAACCCATTTTAAGGAATTCGAAAATAACGAACAGGACAACAGGCAGCAAGATTGTTAATATTAAAGGTTTAAGTGCAGGTACGAATACAGCTACAAATGCAGGTACAAATACAACCGATTATCTGACAAGGCATAAATACTATTTACGAAGCATAAAAGGTAGTCATCGGACAGCAAGCCATGATGGTTAAACCTCTAAAAAAGCTAGCCACTCACGCCAGCGAAACGTCAGGAAGAAATTCCAAAAATCCACGGCTTTCAAATTCGAAAAGTAATGACACTGAAAACCTCAGCCGTGAAAGTCTAAACCATTTTGTCGTAACGATTTGGTGTTGAGAAATAACTCCAGTAATATTAAAAATTTTTGAAGTTTAAGAAAGGGGATACTGCTTTCTGAAACGTTAATAATTTGTAAAGACAAAGTAACTTATACATGAAAATTGATCTTCCTCTTGAAGATGATGCTACCTAATAGCAAAACGTGGCTAAAATATAGTTTTTTTTTTTGAAAATTATATAATTTTTATCATGGTTAATGAATTGCACCTGAATGAAAGTAAAACTCAAACTTGAGTTGTTTAGGTTCGTTACATATTTCTTCTTGGCATATATTTAGATAATAATCTATCTTGGGCACCTCAAATCGATTATATATGTAGCAGACTGTCAAAAGCAGTGTTTTTTATATGTAGAATATCACCCACCCTGAGACTGTTTGTTAATCCTTGCTGTTTGGAAACTGCCACGCTGAGCTGCTGCGACACCAAATAATTAAAAGTGACTCCTTTAATGTAGAAATTCCTCGAATCGAACATGTACTCGTCGTGTGGTTTGAACTGCCCCTCGGGGAGCATTGCCGGTAAGGAAGTCCTGTGCGCCAGAAATTCTCTTATGGTGAGCCACAACCTTCTCTGCCAGTTGAGAATGCCAGGGAACGCTATCAATGCAAATTATCTAATAATTAGTGAAAGAAAATGTTGACAGTGGTCGGACACATGAACTTACTGTTGGAGTTCCAGTTTCTGTGACTTGTAGGTGCTACGTCGGCCAATATAAGTAATCTAGTAGTATCTGTGCCATACGCCGTGAACATGTCTTGCGGATCTACTCCATTGTGTTTGGACTTGCTCATCTTCTCCCAAGAAATCACTACCTCCTCCCCGGTACCCTTTTTCTCGGCCTTGTTCCTCTTCAAATCTAATAAAAAACTAATAATTTCAGCTTCAACATTTACCCATAATTTTCTCGAAAGTTTTATTGATCGATGTGTTGAATAGATTGATTATAAAAAAAATAGCATAGATTACTGAATCAATATATTCGTTTTATATATTTGTTAATTTACAGATACCTCTGAAATTTCGCCCTGTATCAAAGGGAGTTAGAATATCCCTGCCGGGCAAAGTGTCACTTGTGAAAGGAAGGATCCACGAAAATGACGCTTATCCTATCGAGCTACTAGTGATTTTTTAAAGTTTGCTAAATCAAAAACTCGACAAGGTGACGGCATTTGGGAGTCAATGTTCTGGGGGATCAAAGGGCAGAGATTTACAACCTTTTTGCTGAAGACTTCAGTTCCATCTACCAAAGGTTTGATGGTCAGGTTGTTGAAAATGGTGAGCAGAAACCCAACAAATGAAAGCACCCTTATATTTTTCGTATATTTAAAGCACAAAACAGCTGTGATATCAAAAATTACGGACCAGTTTGTATACAATCTGCGATTGTCAAAGTCAAGAAAATGATTTTATTGGATCATAATATTTTGCATATTCAAGTATAACTTTATTGTGAGATTTTCACTGAATAGTTTATGAAACCGCAACACGTGTTTCTGTATACAACAGCTCTATTAGATGTAGGAGAAATGTTAAGTTCACCTGATTATATTGCTTGCAAACCTTTATCCTACAAAGTCAATTATGTTATTCAAATTTATATCTCTACCAACGGCTCTTTTGAAAATGTTTTGAAATTGCCCAATACTCACCTAAAATGGTGACGCTGTCTTCATGCAGATACTCCCCTGTTCCTTTTACCCTGTAACTTCTTCCCATCACCATTCCCTGCACCAAGAGCCTTTTGAAAGGCTCCCTTTCTGGTAGTAACCCTAGAGAATAAAGGAAATGTGACACAAACCTAGCATAATACATGTGCAGCACGGCGTGTTCTTTGCCTCCGATATACAGATCCACGGGGCTGAATTTGCGAGCCTTCTCCTTGGAGAATATCTCATTTTCGTTTTTGTGATCTAGAAACCGCAAATAGTACCAAGAGCTGTCCACGAACGTATCCATCGTGTCTGTTTCTCTCTTTGCTGCCCCTTCACATTCGGGACAAATCGTGTTCACCCAATCTTGGATTTCTGCCAAGGGAGAGACACCTCTAAGCGTGATATGAGCCAGCTTGGGTAGAACCACCGGTAACTCTCTTCTCGGAACAGGCTGGATGCCGCATTTTTGACAGTGAATGATGGGAATGGGCGTTCCCCAATACCGTTGACGGGAGATGAGCCAATCGCGCAGCTTCGCGCTGGTCCAGTAGCCGCCGACGTTTAACTTTTTGGCTCTATTGCAAATTTCTTGACGTTTCCATTCAAGTTCCTCGCCCGATGAAAATTCTTTAACGGTTTCAAATGTAATGTTGTGATGTGAAGCAAATTTTGTGGCTTCAGAAAAAACATCAGGGATTCCTGAAAAATATTGCATGACTATTTTTGAAGAATCATTAGCAAAAATGTTTCTCAATTTACTTTTCAACATTATATACAATAATTATATTTTCTGATAACCTGAAATACTCAGAGAAATTGGAAAAATGGTACCATAACTCACACAAAAACTACTCACAAGATAGCTTAAACAACAATCAGTGAACAATACTAATATTCATAAGAAACCTGTTGAACAATTTGAAATTATCATATGTATTTCAATGTCATGGTACATATAAACACATCTCTGGATAATCTCTGAGGTGGTTTATGAGTTTTTGGATAAATATGTGTAAATGATAGGTTTTATGGTTTACCAATGATAACAGTGAAAATCTATTTAACAAGATATCATTGTTAATCTGGATAAACTTCATTAATTTTGTAAGTTATATTTCTAAAAATTTTGTTGGGCAGTTTTAAAAGCTAAGTCAATCATCTCAGGCCAAGTGTTCAGATACACAAAATATGTCACAATTATTGTCTTCTATTATTGTCTCACAGTATAGCCTCCCGAAGATAGTTTTTTGTATAATTGTTCTGTATGGTTGTCAAATTTCAGACCTCTATACCCCAATTGAAATAAAAAGACAGAATTACTACGATAAGTCAATACATGGTTTTTTCATCTTGAGCACCAGTAGATTAGCCTTAACAATTTTTTCAATATCTCAATATCAGAGTATACAATATACCAAAAATGTAGAGAGCATTACTAATACAACTATTACTACATTTTACCTGTGGGTTTGACAATAATTGCCTACACTGTACAATTAAATTAAATAATTAAATAGAATTGGCTGATACTTGATGAAAATCCATATTAAAAAACTAATCAATACAGTTTATTGTATGATTTTCACTATAAAGGGTTTTACAAAAACCGTGACACGCTATACAATAGCTTCCTCAAGCATAAACTTGAGGAAGCTATTGTATAGCGAAACACGTGTCGCGGTTTTTGTAAAACCCTTTATAATGAGAATCATACATTTTCCGATTGATTCGGCTGTTACTTGATGAAAATCCATAGTAATTTCAAAAATTACACCTCACAATTTGATCCCCACAAACTTTATTTGAAAAATATATCACAACATGTTTCGCTAAGACATTAGCTGAGGTGTAGTTTTTGAAAAGAAAATCATGCAATAAACTGTATTGATTAGTTTTTTAATTAAATTAAACTTTATTCCACTGCTACACTGACAATACAACACAAAATATTTAACTGAACTCAAGACTAAAATTGATATGTCTATCGCCTTAATAGCTCACTTCATACTGCACTTTCAACTACAGTATCATTAATAGTTTCTGCCTTTTTGACAGATTAAATACTTTGATATTCAATTGTCGAAAAAATAGTTAATTTTATTTTTTCAGTTCTCCTTTTAACTCTTATTACTTTATATCATCAAGATATTCTGAATCATGTCTGTCTATGTGATCTAAATTGAATAGTTAGAGTCAAAATGGTCTCAACTTTGAAAAGCAACTAAATAAATACATCATTTTATAATTTATGAGATATACCGCAAGTTTATATTCTTACCCAAATAGGAGTCTGTAAATGGAAGAAAATCTATTTCACTGGTAACATAAACCGGCACTGATTCACCATTGATTGGATTCTTCAATTGCACCCTCAACTTGACTGTTTGTTCACAGTTCTGAATTCCCTCATGTTTGGCTAGAATATTATCAGTGGTGACAGCAACAAATTTCGCATGTTCCACATATTCAGGTTTGGAAGTCCAAAGAGGCAAGAAATCTCTTCCACCAGAGTCATTTTTTATTTGGAAATCGAAAGAAACTCCATTGCATTCTCCAATCCAGTGCTTCTGGAGTTTAGTGATATCCTTCCAGTCCTGCAATACTGGGTCATCTAAACCGTCTAGTAAGTCTTTGGCGAATTTTGTGGTACGAATGAACCACTGCCTGAGGAGTTTTTTCTCTACTTTTGCTCCCGAACGCCAAGAATTTCCATTCTCGTCCACTTGCTCATCTGCTAAAACAGTCTTGTCCTCCGGATCCCAGTTCACAAGAGCTTCCTTTTGATAAACTAATCTGAAAGACAAAAATTACTTGTCTTTTTTGGTGTGAAAACAAAAAATGCATATTCTATCTCATCTTCTTTGTCCACCAACATATATTTTTCATTAGCAAATAATGCTCTTCATAGTACAGTCAATCACTTATAAAATACAAAACAAAAAAAAAAATAGGGACAAGTCGCATTTTAAAAACAAGAAACTAGAAAACAAGACGAATTATTGATGACTGTCGATGCTATTCGAAAGCATTTTTATAATAACTAAATTCCATTAAATGAGTGCTTCATAAAATAAACAATTTGAATCATTTGACCCCCTACCTACTTGATGACTAATAATTTTAACTGTCAAGTATTAACTAATTCAAGGTTTAGATATCGTAAAAGGAAGTTTTGCCAACTTATTAAATCAACATGTAACAACCTAATTACCAAGTTCCACATCAGAAAACAGATTTAGAAGAGAGAAATAACTCAATTCCATTTAGTAATTCTGTAAATTTTCAGAAATCTCAAATCAATTAATTTCTAAGCATTCCAAAAGATGGAGTTTCAAACCGTTCTCTACCAAATGTTATACTTCATAGTCGTGGTGGAACACCAAAGGATCAAGTACAGAACCCTAAGGAACCCCAACAAATTTGGGTATAGACATCTCAGAATGAACCAAGACTAAAACAAGACATATATATCCAGCTTCTGTTGATTCTTAAATATATTTTCTCTAGTGATGCAAACATTTATTTATTAACAAATATTTTTCATAATTTCTCTAGTGAATTGTAAAAGGTAGTCTTTCTAAAGATATACTTGGTCCAAGTCACCTTACCCTGCATCATATAATTTCAGAAACAAATCTTGCGTCCACCTGTAGTACTGGGGGTCACACGTTGAAAACTCTCTTTCCCACTCGAAATCGCAACCCAATTCTATAAGCTGTTTTTTCATGTGGGTTATATTTTGACTAGTCCATTCACCAGGAGGAATTTTTCTATCTATTGCAGCGTTTTCAGCAGGTAATCCAAATGCATCCCATCCGATCGGGTGAAGAACCTGGCAGAACAAAATCATTATGCATAAATATGCAAAATAATATTCAAAAATTATCTAACTTATGTGAAAATTATGAAAATTAAAAACTTTGTACAGTACACTAACATTTTTCCCGTTCATTCTCTGAAATCTTGCTACCGTGTCACTGATGGTGTACACACGAACATGTCCCATGTGCAAGAATCCTGAAGGATAGGGGAACATAGGAAGCACATAATACTTTTCTCTTGTTGAGTCATTATCCACATTTTTATTTCTTATCCTGCCTCTCCAATGATTCTCTATCTTGTGTTTCACTTCAGTTGATATATCATCATTCTAAAAAGAGACAATGATTTATAATGAAAGGTATCACAGGAACCTCTGGCTTAATGGAATTGGGCGATAACTGATGCCAATCCATAATTCATTCCAAGTAAAAGTTTATTGTGAGATTTCCACTGGACAATTTACAAAACTGTAGCACGTGTTATACTTCAAGCTTTTTTTGTATGGGTTACACCAAACACCAGAAGTACAACACTCTTCTCGATATGAAGTACAGTTGTGTACTTTGTCTCCAAGACGCCAACCTGGTTGGTGAAACGCGTGTCGAGAAGAGTGTTATATTTCTGGCGTTTGGGAACAGTACTTCTTCTAGGGAATCAATTATATGTAAGTAAACTCAAAATTGGTATTATTACCCATAAATTAATGCCCGAAATAGTTCTCATTAAAAGTGAATGATGTTTCGCAGTTTGTTTCAGGATTCGCGATTTCTTGATGATCATATTTTGACTTATGCCTCTAAATTACCAAAAGTTTTATATCGAAAACGAAAACCATGTATGTGTTTTGACAAAAATGAGACATGACATAACCTCTCCTACTGAAATTGAAAAGAAGAAATTCAACTCGCTAAAAGATGGCGCTGCACTTCTTTGAAAGAAAAAATACAAAATCTCTTGTGCCATCTAACGATGACGTTGCATTACTACCGATAAGTAAAGCACAAAATACTAAATTTCAGTTATTCGCCGAATGATAGCGCAGTACTGTCTCTATAAACAAACTTTTTATATAGACTATATACACAAATTCATAATTCATCTTACAGTCACAGAATATTCCAAGTCATTACAACGGAGTGGCCTTCACTCCATTTTTACCGTTATTTAAAGATTTATCCTCAAACAACATTTTGGAAGTACGTCACAGCATAGAAGAACGTGCCTGAGATAAAATCACTAGTAATATGGGTTGCAACTTTTTATTTTCAATAAAAATATATGAAACAAAGTCGTGTTAGTTACACCATTCATAACTAAAGAACAGCTAGACCAATTTTTATCATTTTTGTGTTTTTGGATTTGTTTTCGTCGGGAATAGGATAAATATAGTGGCCTGTTATAATAAAACGCAACTGACAGCTTCACATTGATTCTGACAACTCAGATTCATTGTTCATCTGTTATAACAAAACGCAACTGACAGGTCACGAAATGCCTATGTCGTTTGTTTTAAATTATCACAAAATTGACCGGTAATGTGTTTGTTTTGTGCAAGAATTATTATAATATAAATCTTATTGTGACGATATTATTATTAACAATGATCTTTCCCGACCAATAAATAAAGAAGAAGAAGATGTTAGATTATAAACTTAACCTCATTCCTTCAAAGTAGAAAATATACTATTATTGTTAAAGTAAAGTACCATAGAGAGTTAAATAAATACTGAGTATTAGTTTATATAAACAGTTATGAATGAGGATCAAAGGGACATGCCAGCAAAAAAACCTAAACTAGAAGATTCGCCTTCAGAGGCTACAGCAAAATCAGAAATGAAGAACATTTCCCCCAACAGTGAGTTTCATATATTTTCCTAAGTATAGTAACTACACTCAGAAATTTCTACACCTGGGTAATATGAAAAACTCTTAATTTTTTAGGTAATAGAACTCCAAGATTATGTCCTTATTTAGACACAATAAATAGACAATATCTTGACTTTGATTTCGAAAAGTTGTGTTCTGTATCTTTAACAAGAATCAATGTGTATGCTTGTTTGGTTTGCGGAAAATACTTTCAGGGAAGAGGAACCAACACTCATGCCTACACACACTCAGTGGCTGAGGGACATCATGTATTTCTCAATTTACAGACCCTCAGGTTTTATTGCTTGCCAGATAATTATGAAATAATAGGTAATTGCGGGAAATGAGTCATATTTTATAAGAGTAGACAAATATTTTTTCCAGATTCGTCACTGGATGACATTAAATACGTTTTGAACCCAACTTTCTCCGAGGAACATATCAAAAATTTAGATGAGAGTACAAAACTGTCGAGAGCTATTGACGGTTCACTTTATACACCAGGTATAGTGGGATTGAACAATATAAAAGCTAACGACTATTGCAATGTTGTGTTGCAGGTAAATACTTTACAAATATTTCTTTAACAGAGTTATAAATATATATATAATAAAGTACCTTGTTTTTGCAAACATAGAAAGACAAGTTGACATAACATAAATAAACATAATTGAAAATGAATAAACAATACTGGATATTCACTGATTAATCACCAGCAAACTGTAGTAGTATGAAACTAATGTTACTGTTTATAATTGTGTATAGGATGCATACTAACATAGAGTTGAGTTGATGTTTCATCCAGAACGAAAATCATATAAATGTTACTTTTCGTTGCTAAATTTGATTTTACCCCTTAAGTTTATTGGCAATGCATACTCCTAATGTTTTTTTGGAATACTATTTTGTAAAGTTCAACTGGTTTGTTTGCTTTCAATGAGATTACTGTCATCATCAATTATGCCATTTACTTTTGAAGAAAAAAAAAATTGAAATTGTCTTTAATATTCAATATGACCGAAAATATTGAAAGGAAATAATAGTTTTATTAGAGGAAAAATATAATAATTCATAACTGACTTATGATATGTCACAATTACATCAATAACTTTTGTAAATCAAAAGATTTTCAGGAAAAATAATCGTACAAAGTGACCCATTATTCGGACATTCCTCCCCCCACATTTTGAATTCACTTTCGTCAACCTGAATACAGGTCTACTAAATATAATAATGATAATAATAATAAGATAGTAACATGAAGTTTGTCCACATCTTCATACGATAAATCTTTGCTGAAATATTGGTTTTTATAGATTTCCATAGAAAACATTTCGATTCTTTCGAACATTTCTTCGATATTACCTAGAAATGCTATTTTGTGCATCCTAAATTGTAGTAGAGTTTCATAAAAAATCAAAAAATAAGATAAAATTGAAACAAAAACCACAAGACCGTGACATGTATAATAGCTTCTTTGAGTCAAAATGATATATCATTTTCACAGTGAATTTTATAAGTTGCTGTTATTATGGATTTTCATTAAGTATCGGCCAGTTCTATTCAATTTTTGAAACTAAAAGATGGTTAGAAAACAACTGTAAACAGTGACACATATTATTAATTTCGAAGAGTTAAAAAATAACTAACAATATTCATCTTTGTTGCCTGAAAAATTTCAATTTTGCAATTATTTCCAAGGGGCTCTCTCATGTCACACCTTTGAGAAATTATTTTCTCATGGAAGAAAACTACAGCAAAGTGAAAAGACCTCCTGGCGATTCGGCTTATTTACTCGTTCAAAGATTTGGGGAACTAATGAGAAAGTTATGGAATCCAAGGAATTTCAAAGCACATGTTTCTCCACACGAAATGTTACAGGCTGTTGTTTTGTGGAGTAAAAAGCAATTTCAATTCACACAACAAGGTAATGAAATACAAGACAATGATGGTAATGTTTTTTTTTGATTCTCTCAATATTTTTGTTTGTTTCTTGGATGTTGAAAACTTTCCAAGAACTACTTCCTACTACTCTACTACACGTGTTGGTAATTTCAGGGGACCCCATAGATTTTCTGTCATGGTTCCTGAATGCTCTGCATAGGGCTCTGAATGGAACAAAGAAAAAAGGGAGTTCGATAATATATAAATCATTTTTGGGTAACATGAGAATTTACACAAGGAAAATCCCTTCCACCGATCTAAGTGATAAGGAAAAAAAAACATTGTTAGCCACACCTGAATACCAAGAAGTTATAACGGAGTCTCCATTTCTCTATTTGACATGTGATCTACCTCCACCACCCCTCTTCATTGACGAGTTCAGGGAGAACATTATACCACAGGTAATTAATGAAGTCAGTCAATCAGCAGAGTTTATTCAGTTGAGAAAAAGACAGTGATTGGCAGATACTTCATTATATTCAATTTGTTTGTTTGTCTGTTTATTACACATAAGAGACATTTACAGACACATATTATGTACACATACACTAAAAGTATATTTAAAAATATGCCCAATCTGTTTTTGATGATAAAAATAACTTCCTGATTCATATAAATCAGGGTCAGTGAGTATAAAATCTTCAGATGTGTTGAGGAAATCGAAAGCATTTTGTTTTGCTGTAATGTTCTTTGCAAGAACTTGATTATCAGTTACTGTGGCTTTCAATACAATTATTTCTACAATTTTTTTAATATACGACAACATTCATTTCATTATACATTTTTAGGTGAATCTGTATCAATTATTGACAAAATTCAATGGTCAAACTGAAAAAGAATATAAAACATACAAAGAAAATTTCATGAAGAGATTCGAAATAACCCAACTGCCTCCCTACCTGATATTGTACATTAAAAGATTTACCAAAAACACGTTCTATGTGGAGAAAAACATAACTATTGTCAATTTTCCTGTCAAGTGAGTAAAAGAAAACGTTTCCTAGTTCTTGATTATATGAGCACATAATTTTTCAGAAACGTGGATTTTGCCGAATTTCTAACCCCCGAAGTAAAAGATAAGCACAAAAACACAATTTACGATCTGGTCGCAAATATTGTACACGACGGGGAACCAAACAAGGGAACGTACAGAGTACACATCTTACAAAAATCAACTGGGCAATGGCACGAAATGCAAGATTTACATGTAACCGATATTTTACCACAAATGATAACTCTGACAGAAGCCTATATACAAATATATGAACTTAGATCATAGAGCAGTACCTTTTATAAACGTTTTCTCATTTTCAAAT